TCAAAATCCTAAGATTATTTGGGGTCGGTATCAAGATATTCAAAGAATTGCATTCGAAAAGATTGACGAGTTATGAAACTCGAAATTTCCGACATCAAATTTATCAAGTAGGCAGTTAATAGATAGAACTTTGTAACTCTAGAGTAGCTTACTGTTATACAATCATAGCATGAGATATAAAAGAAGCTTTTTCAATTCTTTGGTCTTAGTGAAACATACAGCAGGGGTACCCCTGAAGATGTACACAGCATATCAACAGTAGTCACACATTTAAATGGGAATTTTCGATCCATAGATTGAAAGACATGGAGCAAAAATTGAACTCAAGTCTCCGTAGAGAGAACATGATCAAGGTGTTCTGAGCTCGCTTTACTTACGACTTACGCCACTCATCTATGATGGGCATGGAATCATGGCCGCACGTTTTGCGGTGCAAAGTGGTAGGTAAAATAATTGTGAGCTATTACTGGCGTCTACGCTGGGACTTTTAGGCTCCTTGCCGTCGCACACAGAAGATGTGAGTTCGATTCCCGTTCGGGGAGAGATTTTTTTTTTTAGATCGAGAATCTCTGTTTGTCTAGTGAGACGTTGTATCCCTCTCAGGGCCTGTTCGTCCTGACAACGAAGATTTGAATTTTGTTGATTTGCAATCATATTTGTTATCAGAAAGCTGCATTACTTAGGGAGACACTAAGGAGTAGCAAAAGGGACCACGAGCCACCTCACGACGACTAGCTAAGAAATACGCCTTAAACATATTATGCTGAGACGAGAAATGAAGTACCAGCACGTATTTATTCCATGTAATACAGCACTCTATCATCTTCTTATAGCAAACAGTTTCTCTGAGTGCCTGCAACGTTCAAAGAAATTTTTTCTCGACCGATTCATCACCTTGCGATGGATACATTTCCGATGTGTGAAGACTTTCTTTTTCTTAAAAAAAAAAAGCTTTTAAAAAAGCAACAAAACATAGGCACTGCGAATTGTCCTTCAAGAGAGGTTACGCTTTCGTGATAAAGCAGACTTAGATGAGCGACTGAGCCCCCAAAAGTGCAAACGCTCACTTGTCGGATACAATCGGTATGATCGCCCGCGGGAGGTCCTTAAATCAGTTTGGTCACACCCCCCCCCCCCCCCCCCACCCCTTACTTAAATCCCACCTCGATTACTTTTTTGGGTCCCAAAAGGGGGGGGGGGGGGGGCATTTCTCGTTTAAGCACAGTAGAATTGTAAATGGGCTGATTCATCATGTCACGCTCATAATTGTGCCTGATCTGCAACAGGGAACTGCTGCTTTTTCTTTCCTAATCCTTTCTATTTTCTTTTTCCTCTACTTCTTTTGTACGTTTGTCACTCTTACGACCCGCTATTTCCAGGGTGCCTTGATAGTCAATGCAGACCTTGTGCTGTTGAAGCTTGAGAGGTAAGCAGAGTAAATCTGATTCCTGTAAGGACTTCTCTGTTGACACCCACCCCTTGGCACTCATATGACCTAATGTAGTAGCGAGCGCCGTAAAACCCTCTACTATAAAAATGACAATGATAATTGTATCATCATCATCATAATAATAATAATGATTATTATAATAATAACAATACTAATAATAACAATCTAAAAATAATAATAATGAGAAAAAGAAAAAGAAGAAGAAGAAGAAGAAGAAGAAGAAGAAGAAGAAGAAGAAGAAGAAGAAGAGGAAGAGGAAGAAAAAGATGAGGAAGAGGAAGAGGAAGAGGAAGAGGAAGAGGAAGAAGAAGAAGAAAAAGAAGAAGAAGAAGAAGAAGAAGAAGAAGAAGAAGAAGAAGAAGAAGAAGAAAAAGAAGAAGAAGAAGAAGACTTACTTTTACTTTTTCATCATCTGTTGCCGTTAAGCGTTGAGGGGAGATGCACTTTTCTTTGGTAGGCCAGCCCTGCAGCCCTTTCAATTTGGATATTATAATATCTATGGGTTTCCTTGACTCCTCCAATCCACCTTTTGCGTCACCTTCCTCTTGCCTTATAACCTGGGTGCGTGGTGTTGTAGGCTCTCGATGTTGTTTGGCGAGGTCAAATTCGCTACATGTGGCGAAACCATTCAATTCTCTGTTTTTCTATGAAATGCAGGCAGGCAGGACTCAGTGCCAATAGCTGTTCATACTTCTTCATTGCTCTGCCTGTCTTGTCTTGTAATGCAAGGATATTTCATCTCGCATGCAGTGATTTTGATTTCATGGGTTTTACTTGATGTTCAGGTCTGGCACTGGTAGATAATGTAGGTATAAATATTGAGGTTATAAGTTGTCTTTTTGTGCCCATGGAGATGTTTGGATGAGATAGAAGGGGTGCAAGCTGGTAGGCGACAGCGTTCGCTTTTTTGGGTTCGCGTTTCTATTTCTCTGTCTATGGACCCGTTTTCATAAAATGTGCTGCCATGATATTTACACTCCTTCACAAGTTTCAGTTGTTTACTATGGACGACATAGATGTCCGAGGGACTATGGTTTCAGCTCATTTTCAGATCTTTGTTTTTGATGTGCTTATTTTCATGTCAAATTTATCGTAGCTGTTGTTCACTTCGGTAATGTGATTCTGGTGGCTTGGTTGGTTTGGACAAATACGAAATTGGTCGTCTGCAAATAGAAGGTTATTTAGGCTTTCCGAGCTTTGGTTTGCGTCTGCCGTTATTGTGTTCATACAGATTGTTAAAAGGAGGGGAGATAAAGTGTATCCCTGTCGTACTCCAGATCTTACTTTGAACAAGTCTGTGTTGCCTTCCTTTGTTCTTACTGAGCTTCTGTTGTTGGTGTATAGAGCTTTGACATTGCCTAACAGTTGTCCTCTAACGCCATACTTTTTAAGTGTCTTTCAGAGTTTTGCATGGTTTACTCTGTCAAAAGCTTTCCCCTGGTCTGTGAAGAAGATGTTGAACTCTTTGCTGAGATCGATGGGGTTTTTTTTTTCGCATAGCTGTCGCAATAGCGAACACAGCATCCGTGTATCCTCGTCCCTTTCTGAATTCGAACAGAGCTTCGCTCAGACTTCTCTCTACAATTGATCTTATCTGCTGTTCTATTATTTTCGCGTATTTTTTGCCTCTGTGCGTTGTGCAGTCGCGTTTGCTTCCTTATTTCCATAATGGGATCACTATTGCTTTTTGCCAGTCTTCTGGGCATTCCCTTAGCTCGGAGGCTCTATTAAAAATTCGCCTCAGACACTGTGATAGTGCACCGATGTTTCCACAAGCTCGTATGGTTTCCGCTGTGATGTCATAATAACAATAAAAAACAACAACAATAATAATAATGATAATAATAATGATAATAATGATAATAATAATAATAATAATAATAATAATAATAATAATAATAATAATAATAATTGTAATAATAATAATAATTGTAATAATAACAATAATAATAATAACATTACTATTAATAACAACAATAATAATAATAACAATAATAGTAATAATAATAATAATAATAATAATAATAATAATAATAATAATAATAATAATAATAATAATAATAATAATAATAATAAGTTATGTTTATTTTGATCGAGAATCCTGTCCTGCTTAAAAGTAGGCTTTCTTGTTTTACCATTTGTTTTTTGTCCACCAGACTCGATATCCTTCCTTCCGAAGTGCTCTCATGGTGTGGCGGGCTTTTTCAAGATCTTTTCAAGGTACTCACACCCAGGTGGACACAACATGGAGACGGGACCTGAATTCGAATCGACACGCTCATAGCATAAAATCAGTACATTGAGTTGGAACCAGAAGAAAATCTCTCTCTAAATATCTATCTCATTAATTTAAAACCAGAAATGACTGAAGCTGACATCTGAAAGGATTTTAGGGATGGATCTCTCTCTCTCTTAAAGTACTGGGCTAATCGTTCCATATCTTGGAGCCATGGTATTCAAATGCCTTCTCATCCATTGGTTATAGTTTTATAGATGGTAAAAGAGATTTCTTTTTGTCAGTTGGTGATCTGAAACTGCGAGTGGAATATACGAGTCTAGTGTTAGTTTCAAGAGATCTGATGATGGCGCATTATCATCTAAGTATTTGTGACACAGATAACGTCCAGAACTTATGGCAGTCAGAAACAACACAATATTATAGTAGGGGCACATGAAGAAGGCTGCCTGCTGGGGCGATCACAACTCACATACACCACTGAAGTCGAAATGAAACTGCATTAACTCCCCCCCCCCTCCACCCCCGGTCCTGAAAAAATATCTTGAAAAAGCTCGTAAGTTACACCTAATACACAACTAGACAAATAATTTGCCTTGGTTACACCTCTTCACTTCTGTGTGGTCCATTACAATTTTTTTGTTTGTTTCTAGAGGCTTTTTTTCTTTTCGGTCTTCTTTTATTCTTAAGATTTATAACTTGTGCAGTTTCTTATTCTTCATAATCTTCATAAGGGGAAATATGTCAAGGTATCGCTTGAATCTCTCTTGAGTGAAGGTTTTGTCTTCTTTGCTTTGAACAAATGTGAACTGAAAGGGTTTAAGCAGATCTTTTATGGCGAAGTCATACTGCATCGCTTTAATTCAAACTGACCCCCATCCTTGGATTCAACACAATCCAACCTGTGTTAACTGCTAATAAGGTACATCGGCCACATGTCAGCACCAAGCCAACATGCTGGTCAGTATGTATGTTTGCGAGCGTGTAATTCTGGTTTCTGTGACAGGCAATGACAGCTGTCTCGTCAATCGCTAATTCGATCTCTACATAAAATAGTCTTTTTAGCCCCCCCCCCCCTCTCCCTCCATAGTATCACCCTTTTCTAACCTTTCCTTTGACACCACGGCCATTTTCCCCCTTCCCTTAAGCTCGGATTCTTTATTTTTCCCTTTAATTGAAACCTCATTTCCCCTCCCCCCTTCCATCGTCCTTTCATTCGCCCGCTCTCCCCCTTCCCAGACCTCCGCTAGAGCCGGGCTGCTCTGCCTCTCGATGCACGGCGAGACTGCGCGGGCTGGCGTGCTGGTAGGATGGCTTTGCGACGAGTCTCTTGGAGTCTAGTGTTAGTTTATTAATTTCAGACTAAGCAGGCCATTAGCGGTCGCAGTGACGAAGGCGAGAATGATATCACCGCGTCTCGCGACTTACACCAGCGGACTTCATTCTCCCAGGCCCACGTGAATTTCTAAGGTTATTGCCATGGCCCATGTAGAGTAGGTATGATTGTTTAAGTTCTAGAAAGTCGTGAAAAAAATAAAGAATACTTTTTTTTTAAATTACAGAAACAGAACTTTACGAGGAAAGTAGTGGTACCAAGGTATGTAAGGCAAGCGTGTGTGATAACGATAGTTGATTTTATTAGTGGATGAGTTGTGAGAGACGGATTCAAGGACGCGCTGAGCCGTTTTCAGTTGAACGTCCTCTAATCCATTTGTTTATCTCCCTGTAGCAGATTTGTCACGAACGTGTCGCGTTTTGGAGTTGCAAAGCGCCAGATATAGCAACAAAAAAACGCACTTGTCGCCGAGACACATCTACCGACTTGCGGAGCCTTGTCGTTAGGTTGTCACAGACCGTCCGGGGAAAAAGTCCAGGGCTTGTGATTGGCATTGCAAAGTAAACACCTAGGACTATGACGACGATACTCACCTCTACTCTTTCCCTACTCCCGGTCATTCTCTTGACCGTTGTCTGCGCAGCTCACTCCATGCACTCAAAGGCCAGAGGGCACGTGCGAGTCGCTGATGAGCTTAGCAACAATGCCAAACACAGCGCTGAGGGCACACGGACTTCTTCCTTCCATCAGAGGACAGCCCACGAACACCCGAGGCGGCACCCTCGAGTTAAAGAGGAGATCAAAGAGAAATACTACCGTTACGAGCCGTCCACAGAAAGAGACAGCAATAGCAATAACAAAATGACCAGTTCGGTTGGTTTAGAACTAGACGGGGGCGACCTTTTATATGCAACCCGTCCCACAATGAAAAGCTTCCAAAAACACAAAGTTCATAAACAGTCATACTCAGAGAACTTGAGCCACAACTTTGGTTCCAAAAGCAAAAACCACGATATTGAAGAGAGCCCTGTGGAGACCAATGTGACAGAATCAGTGTCTGAACCTGCAGACTCTGCCAATTCCACGGAGCCCCTCCCTGACCCCGAAAATAGCCTTTTGTCTCAACTGGAGCAGGATGATAAAAAATACACCAGTGGCAACGAGTCCCTGGGGAACCATTCCAAAGCTAACATGACTAAAAGTATAAGTAAGGCCTCACAGTGTCCGAGCTGTGAGATAAGAAATGGCGACAAGAACTACCGCATCGAGAGTCTCAAACAACAGATTCTCAGCACGCTGCAATTTAAAAAATTGCCAAACACCACCGGAATATCTATGCCCAAAGTGCCTGCGCTGGAGCACCTATATGGCATGGACGCCGACATGGTCAGTGACGCCCCCTACCGGAAAAGGACAAACGGGTACGCCGGTCATTATAGGGAGGAAGGAGATGAGGACGACTTTATCGTAAAGACGGAAAGAGTTTTTACAGCCGCCAGAATATGTGAGTATGCTCAGAACTATGATTAGCTATTTTTTAAAATATGCAACCTTCAAGTTTCAATTGTTAAAGATTACGCGAGCGCTTTTTGAGGGTTTTTACTTTTGTTGTCAGTGTTACTGTTAATCTTGTCTATTCTAAGTGAAGTTACCTAAACTATATGAAAAATGAATGGGCGCAGAATAAGGTTATGTACAGGCTGCATACAACCTGATACAGTATTTTAAGTCTAAAAGTCTGAACGTATTATATACTTGATCCTAATATCTAAAAAGAAAGCATACCCTTTCCCTTCAATCGTAAGGAGAAAACATTGACATCCTTATGCAAGCCATCTTTATTCCGTTTAGTGTCTCACCAAAAGTGATATTATAAAAAGCAATATAACACCGTGTAAGAATACATGACTTTGCAGGGGAAAGTAAACGTAAAAGGTAATCATTCAACGTGAAGAAAATAAAATGCATGGTAATATAAAAAATAATAGTAAAGTTTGATGATTTATAATCTAATAAGCAGGGGTAAAATATCAAACTTGTTCAATAGTTTTAATATTTTGGATTTGTTATCATACTTACATTGATGTCAAATGTTCCCCAGAAATAAATTGCTTTGGCTAAAGATAGCTTTGATAAAATTATCCCAAAACCTGAAAAATATGAACATCTAAATGACTACACTACCAAAATAAAAGTTCTCTAAGGCTAAGTGTGGTCAGCCGTTTCATGCACTTGTGAATGCTGGACAATCACTAGAGACAGTGAACATAAAATAGAAGTAACAGAAATGTACTATCTTAGGAGAATGCAGGGAATTTCTTGGTGAGAAAAGAAATGGGATGAGACTGTACGTTGAGAAGCACGTGTGGGCCGCTTGCTGCAAAAAAAACAAAAAAACAATTAAGAAATTACAAATGCATTTTTAGACACTTGAATAGACCGGAAGACCTTGACATCTAGGTCTTACTGGCAAAATTGAAGGCGAACGATGCAGGGGTAGACTTATTTGGAGGGCCAAAACAGATGGGTTACTGGGAAAGATCAGGAAGGTGTAGCTTTTTTTAGAGCACCCGGGCATATGCATGAATGGAGAGCCGTGATCTGTGATGTCTGTCACAGTTCTGGCACTTTATGACAATAGTGATGACGAAATTATAGCTGTCACACTGTCTACTACAGATGTATTACGTCACTAATTGATGTCCGTCTATAGGCTACCTGTCGTGTTTCGCTTCTAGTGGGAGTAACTAGCCTTCCACTGTATCACCATCCGGTATTCAACTTATCCATCTCGCGTATCCTCTGAATTTTAATGAAAGGATGCCGTGATTTTGTTTGTATTTTTGTTGTTGTTGTTCTTGTTTTTTCCTCCAACGCCCTGTTCAGTGCGTTAAGTGTGTTAAAGGCGTCTGCTTCAATCTAACATCCATTTCCGATAGACAAATAAGACGGAGAGTTATGAGAACTGCAGAACTACCCAGGGTCAAGAGTGCCCTATTTAGTGTAAGACTATGGTAATTTGCGTTATAGCCTGGCATGATAGAAACTGAATTATCACTGTACTCTTAATGTTTTGATAAGGAAATAAGGGCTTCAACGTCTAAAGGGTCTACGTTGTCTCAGGTACGGCGTCAGATGCCCAGAAAACCTATTCGAGCTTACAAGGCCGTACTGTATTGATCATTTCTAAATCCTCATGGGCACTGTGAGGAACCTTAAAAGTTTGAAGACTTTTTATGGACAGGGGAGGGAGGATGGGAGAAGGAATGGCTCTCTCTTTCTTTCCTTAAGACAGAGTAACCTCTTGGTTCATTTCCTGAAAGGGAAACAACATTGCATATTTTTTATTCCCGGTGAGGGGGGGGGGGGGGGTCGTGTTTGTTGCTCTTTTTTTCCATTTTCGAGTCATCGCTGAGGACCCTTTGTCTTCCATCTCACTCTGTCCACCGTGTCTGCCATTGACTCACACACCAACTTCACGTAATCTCTTTTGCGTTCCTGTACTTCTAAATGATGGTTCCAACAAGAGACATCGGGGTTTTTTCTCGTCTGCCCCGCTTCCCGTTTGTGTGCACACCCCAACCGTAATAATCGTGCGCTCTCTCTCTCTTCCTCTCTCTCTCTCTCTCTCTCTCTCTCTCCCTCTCTCTCTCAATATTATACTCTAACTCCCAAAGAAGCAATTTGAAGTAGCGTGAGCCTCTATATGACATGGCTATAAATAAATAAGTGGGAAAGCTTTTAGAACAGGCCATGGCAGCGAAACGTGTAAGAAAAATGTCACCCTTTTTTAAAACTACACACTCGACTTTCATCGTTATCATAGTTTCTTCTCATTTTGTTTCCAAATTGTCCCCACTTTCGAGTACCTTAAATATTATACTTTAAAAAATATTCCGTTTTATAGTATCATGTTTTCTTTGCAATATCGAATGGAGATACACACAGGGATAGTAATAGTCGGAAATTGTTTTTTCAAACTTTCTTCCCAGTCAGGGTTTTTTTCTGTCGGCATCCATCAAGAAAAACATTGGTCTTTTCTCAGAACTTCTCACCTGGGAAATATTTTTCTTGGTTTTAAAAATACCATACTGTATTTCCGCCAAACAATACAAGACTTACGTTATTTCAACCGTCAGACACGCAACCTATCTTTCGGTTAAATACTAGACATGAACATCAGCAATACTTTAACTGTTTTATTTCATTCAGTATAGCCTGGGCCAACCTGTTTCTTCCCCTTTGTCCTTCAGTTCTACTTGTAAGGCACTGCAGAACGTTAAAGCAGGCTGAATTTACTGAATTTGTTATGATCACCAATGAGGGAATCTTTGACTTTGAGTAAACGCGTTACGTCAGAAATGCGGATTTTTTCCCCTTGCTATTTTGGTAAGTAGGAGCCTGTGTAATAAATAATTTTCAAAATTTGAAGGAAATGTACTATTCAAGAAGTGCTCGGCGAATATATGAGTTTCGGTCATCTTGGCACTGAATGCAACACAGCGGTCGGCAAGTGTCAGTGCGACACAGCGGTTCATTTGTTTGCCTGTGTGGTGGGGAGATGGCTGAACCAGCCCTGATGCTTACTGTCAGCACATATCACTGGCAGGGAAAGAAAAATTAAACTATTCCTTGCGCACTTCTACTTTTTCAGCCGAAGCCTTCCGGTCATTGGACACAATGAACAATGCTATGAAGTTATGTATATCGAATACATTCACACTTTGGTTAGATTGAAATGGTGCACTCCAATACGAACCGGAATTATGTAAAGTAAATACATAAGACAAATAGACCCTCATTACACCTAGTAAGGTAGTAGGTGCAGCGAATTCTGAGGTGAGAGACCAGCTATGCATGTATTTTTCTTTGGTGTGTGATCTCTGTCGGCCTTTCTTCCTTCTATTCTCTTCACCGCGGTCGGAGTGCACCAGATGTTTGATTTGACATAATGATTTGTCTGGTAGGGAAATAAACCGTACAGGTCAAAGCAGACTTTGTGATGTTGAGGCTAGAGAGGGGAGCAGAGTAAGCCTGATTCCCCGTTTTGGACTTCTCTGTTGACATCCATCTTTGGCGCTCTTAATATGACCTTATGCAGTTGCGAGCACCGTAAAACCGTTCTAAAACTAAAACTAAACTGTACAGGAAAGGTGGAAAATCGGTGTGGGCTCAAAACGTTCATCCTTTGTGAAACTTCCCCTTCTAGTCCTGTGTCTTCCATGGAGAATGCTCTCAACCTTTCAAATGGTCTGTTCTATATGTAGTTCGGCGTTTCTGAAATGGTAACACCAACGGTAGTATTTTTATTGGCAAAATAACAACAAAAATAATAATAAAGATAAATAATAGTAAATAATAATAATAATAATAATAATAAAAAAATAATAATAATAATAACAATAACAATAATAATAATTATGATAATAATAATAATGATGATAATAAAATAATAGTGAAAATAATAATAATAATAATAATAATAATAATAATAATAATAATAATAATAATAATAATAATATAAAAATAAAAATAACAATTGTAAAGAAAATATTATGATACTCATTTTACTCTAACAATTGTTTGTTATATCTTCCTTATAGTTCTTACAAAAATGATATTTATGATGATGACGGTTAGCAATAACACTAAGAATTAAAATAATAGTAATGCTAATTATGACAGCAGTGATGCTAATAGCATCATAATGATGATAATAATAGTGATAATAATAATAATAATAATAATAATAATTATTATTATTATTATTATTATTATTTTTATTATTATTATTATTATTATTATTATAATAGCAATCTGAATTAATGCTATTAACAGTAATGGTCACAACAGCCATGGTATAAACAACATAATAAGTAATAACGATTAAGATAAGAACAACAGCAACAATAATAAGATTAGAAAAGGTACAGTTGTTGTAATTCTGGGATGATAATAATGGTAATGATAGTAGTAGTAATAGTAGTAGTAGTAGTCGTAGTAATAGTAGTAGTAGTAGTAGTAGTAGTAGTAGTAGTAGTAGTAGTAGTAGTAGTAATATGTATGTTATTATTGTTACTCTTATTCATTTTTAACACTTTTTTGCTAGGCCGAAGTCCACCTTCTCAATAGTCTAAATTGTATCGGCGTGGACAGATATTAAATCAACGTATAACAAAAATTATAAATTTGTCCGGGTTTTTTTTTTATTGTTTGTTTTTTAAGCTTAAGGGCGTGTTTGAACTTTTGCTTTGAGACAGACTGTCATTCTTTGATAACATTAATAATAATAATAATAATAATAATAGATAACATTAGCGACACAGTGTCCCATTTAAATGGCAATTACCTTCCACAAAGATTTCGGACTCCCGGCTTCTTTCCAATTTACTTGAACGCTCTACTTTTTTTTAAAAAGGTAATCATTTTGTTAAAAATGTAGATAAACCATTAATTAGAAGTACCTGCGGGGTGAAAAGATTAGATTTAAAAGCACATATTATT